TGATTCAGCACTGCACACAGCTTTTCTAAAATGCGCATACATACACATACACATACATATGTATATACTCATATACGCACATGCGATTATATATATATATATACATACATACATACATATATATATATACACAGGTATATGATCTAGTAGAGAAGCATTTCGGTCGATTCTGGCTTTGAAATTTTAAAAAACTGTTAACCTCAAAGCTACAAGCTGACTTACCGATTCCTCCCCCTTCCCACTAGAAATGAACCTGCTGCCAAAGTGTAAACTAAATAATGTTACTTTCCCTCCCTCCTTCTCATCAACTGTAGAAATAACCAACCATAGCTACTAATGCCATTACGTAGGATAAATTAAAATGAAAAGGAAAAAACTACCGCAAGCATAATTGAAATAAATCGTAACTTGTTTTCGGCTCTCTTTTTTTCTTTCCGTTAAATAATTCCCGCACTGCTACGAAATGAGTGAATGGGTTGGAGTGAATAAGTTCTTTTAGTCATATTTCGAAAAGATCGCAATTCTCGGGATATTCTCGAAATGCTTCATAAAACTTTAATGAAAGAAGGGATCTTTTATTTCTGATGGAATAAGTATGGAAAGATCGAGAGAAGCAAATCAAAAGTGCTGCACTTTGAACATTCCGAAGCAAAGAGACTGAATTTTCCTAGCTTTCAGCTCAAATGACGTGAATTAGAACAATTCCAAAGCAAAAATCAATGCTTCCTATCTTAGATGACCTCCAAGCAAGACTATCTCTTGAACATTAATCCTTCGAATAGTAAAGCATAGCTGGAATGCATGAAAATATCAGGTTAATTCTAATCGCTTTAATACTATTTCGCAATTCTCCATACAATCTTTATTCAATTCATTTCATCTTAATCTGATACATGTGCACTATAAACTCATAAAATGTTAACACAACCACCAACTGTTCTATATCGTTACAGCAAGCCTTCAGCCCTGTTTCCTTATCATCCACCCGTTCTTCTCATATCAAGCATGGAAAGAAGCATGAGACAGCACGATTTTAATAGGGTTAGGTAATATTAGCAAAGTAAGCAAAAGGTCGAGTCAATTATGATCCTCATTCAACTAAGGGTCATTAAAGGTCACATCAATTGGTCCTGCGGCATCTTCCTACCAGAAGCACTTGATCACTTTAGCAATTTCGGAATATGAAACGTAATGTTCAAAAGGCAAAAATTATCAGAAAACCAATAACCTACCTAGTCAACTTTCGGTGAAAAGTTACGTACGACTCCCCAATTATCACGTCATTTGTTGTTAAGAGCCAGAAGGTTAAAAGTATCCCAATCTTCTTTTTCCCTTTCCAAGAGAAGCTATGGAAAGATGCAGTGAAGAATTATTCAGCTTTCTTAATATTCGATCAAATGACACACGCGGTCAACGATGAAGTTATAGAATAATAAGAAGTTCGAAAACAGGTAAAATATCATATGGAACATTCAGGTAGACAGATCTACATCCATAAACAAAAATAGATAAACAGAGGAGGAGATAAGGAAAGTTAAGTTTCCAAAAGCAAGGAAAGAAACAAATAAAGGATACAATATGACGACTCGACGACTACGAACAGTGACCCGACCGCCCCTACATAGAATTGTTATTCACTGGTATATTTGTTATTCACTGGTTAATATCAGTGATTATTTCCTTAATTAAGGAAGGTCATGATATATTGGCTACTAAAAGATTGTAAACGGTTTTCCATCTAGAATGACATTTAGGCAAACGAAACAAATGTGCAGAACTTACTCAGACTTTTGACTTATTTCAGATTTTCTGAGATATTGAAAGGATCTTTTACCTATAACTGGAATACTCCAGTCTCACCGGTATTGAACCTGTTGGCTTTTGCGAAGCTCAAGTAGCTAATCGTCTTATCGTTAACTCTTGAACAATTGTGGGGAGCATATTTACTTGTTATGACATGATAAAATTACTGACTGATATTTTCCTTATCACTCTACTCCTTCTGTAATGCAATCATTTCATAACTCAACACTTTACGCTACACTGTTTAAATTCAGGTGAACATAAGAATTGCAGTCTGTTTCTTATCGATTTATGTTAAGTTTAACAGAACAATCTAAATTAATTGCATGCATCCATGTGATCGAGAGGGAAAACCACCAATGGTGGCAATTTTAAAATTTGAAAGTTCAAGCATACTTCCAATCACTGTTGCAATTATAAGGTGTCTTCCTTCTTTTTTTCTTTCTGTATATCGCTCATTTGATAGAGTCTAAAGTTTTTTAATCTCAAGAAAATCTAAATTTACAAAGGAGGGTCATTCTTTGTCGACCACATAGTCCAATTCATTCCTCTTCCATATTCTCTTTTAGAAGGATAAAATTACTGCAATACATGAAAAACATTGAAGGATTATGAAAATGAACGATAAGACGATAAGAAGTTAATGTCAAGAGGCCTTCTTTTTTTTTTGACGGAGTATGGAGGAAATAAAAATTGTTAGCTTCATGGTTAATTAATTCAGTGACTGGCCGAATGGTCACAACTTTCTCACTTACAAATGACAAAAAAAAACTGGCAAATCATTGCCCCACTTATTTTATTACTAATTTGAATTTCATAGTGAAGAAAAAATTTCTCAAATGTTCTGTCACGAGAACATTCAGGTTGGTAAACTCAGCGGACATGCGCAATCACTTTTTTTATTTCAACTGAAAAATATTTCTCCATTCTATTTCATCATTAAGTGAGGAGGCATACATCATACAGCTGACGACATCGTTTGTCGGATTTGTCAGATTTGAAATCCAATCTTCAGTGAAATCCATGCATTACAGTTACTACTCTAATAGTAATTCTAAATAAGTAATCAACAGTATACAACCATTACTATCCTGTTCAATTATATCGATCAGCTGTAGATTAACTATCCCGGACTCAGTTTACAGTAGAAAAACGCAAACTTACAATTCCTCAACAGCAATACCGGAAAGTATATTACGTATTACATTTTGATCGATTTTTGACCGGTTCATGTCTTCCAATTACTTCGAAAATTTGTAAAACTTCTGTTAAGCTAATGTAACTATCAAAGGATGAAGAACTTCGAGACAAAAAGAAAAAACTGATTAGAAAACTTTTTGTCAAAAGTCTCATGAACACATAGAAGAATCTGCTGTGCACAATCGAGAAATCGTGATGAAAAAGTTGGAACTTCCCAGAAGTACAATAGAATGGTATAAAGGTAGTGCTACTGTGTAAGAGAAAATGGCACTAATTAAATAAAACAAGAAAATGAAACTTGAATGTGCTGGTGATTGAAGTCAGTAACATGACGATTTTCATATCAAATGAAGCAGTTTGAAAAACACTCTTTAGGGATATTTTGTAGATTGGATTGAATGATACGGCAAAAGTCATGCAACTGTGAATTAAAAAAGCTAATAGAAATAACAAAAATTGGCATGTTCTGAGATGAACTGTGCAGCTAAAGTGTATCCGTGTAACTTAATAAAAAATCCCACATTTATATCTGTATAACGTTGACATCACTGATAAGAGCTTTTTTTTTCAAAGTAAAAACTAGTGTGATAATTGGTTAAAATGAAGAATTCGACATAGATCTGGAATACGTAATTAGCGTACTTTACCTTACCACCATCTTCTGGAGTCCAAAACTTAATCTAACCTATTTTGAAGTCATACAACGTCAGTGTTCATTCCTTGGAATCAAACAATTCAGCGTGAACAGTATTTTACATTATCACCATAATATAAATGCATTAAGAGAAGCGGTGCAGCAGATTTTACAGTTTAAAAGCTTAGGAATAATTTCTGATGTAATGGCTTTAATTATTTAGGCTATAATTTGATCGACGCTATGTTATGCTTTGCTCCATTTTTTCTTTTCAAATCGTCATGTCACCAAATCCTAAACATTTGGATGTCTTCAATCAACAAAATAAAACACCATTTACTTTACTTCAAACAATTAATCAGTAATGCTATACTTTAATGCAGCAACATAACTTACCTCACAAGACAATTACACCTGAAAAACCGGTCCAAACAAGGTCGCATAAACTGTGACTAATTGGTATCATTCAAGGTACAAGGCAATTATGAGATCGAGGGTAACGAAGATGAGATATTTTAACCCAATTTAGTCAAGTTTTGTTTTTTCTTTCAAATTATTAAAACCCACGATTCCCTCAAAGTCCACCGAACTTTGAGTAAAGTTGATTCCCTTAGTGTCCTAACCACCGCTGTAGGGTGTAGAAGGGAACTTCCAAATATTATAGAATAGTATGTAAAACACAGTATATCAAAACGGAAAACGAAGCGCGGCCCACCCAAACGATTTTAATTTTGATCAAGCCGTCGTAGACACAGCTGATGAAGAAATGCTGAGCAGCTCCGCTTGTTTCTGAAAATGATGACATAAGACGAACTGGAATCCAAAGACTTATCCAGAAAAGAATTCGAGTGACAAAACATAAAACAGTATATTAGGCTATGAAGACAAGGCGCTGACAACATATAGCCGAAAAGCATAGTGAGTAATAACACCAGTCTATGAACGTATATAAATATAGCCAAAGCCAAGCTTGTCTAATTCACCCATGGCTTGTTGACATTCAAGGCGCTTTCGTCGCCTCAACAACATTATTAAGAACGCATAAATCAATTCATTTGATGGCTCAGCAATTCATGCTTCAAATTTTTTAGAAATAAAAATGTTGCTGGCAACCAATTTCACCACGCTCTTCTTTTCATAAGCTAATTACTACTTGAAGCATTGTCATCATCAGTACTCACTGTTAATGTGAAATATTATCAACTCTCCCATTATATCTCCATTATATCATTATACTCTTCCATTATCTCTGAAAGTTGATAAAGAATTCATCCCTTCCTTTCCACAGAATTTCCAGAGAATTCCATGGGAATTTACTCAGTGTTTTAGCGACGATAATTATTTGCATCACCTCTGCTACTGTTACCAGAATTCACCACACGATCGGTAACAGCAAATCAACGAATAATAATGTGTATAAGTAACAAATACATTTTATGATCATCAAAGATTTCACTCCTTCACCCCCAGAATTCATTAACTGTTTTCATTATTTTTCACTATGTTATTGATTGTCTCAGAGTGTTCCATTAACCACTCCTTGAATATAACAAAATATATACCTTAATAAAATACAATGCTGATTTCAGGATACCGTCGATGAATAAGCTACTAGCTTATACATAAACGATTCACAATTCAACGACTTTCGAATCTGCAATGAATCTCCTTGTCATGGCACTTTACAGGATGCAGCAACTCGGCAAGTTCAACAGAAACAGCCGCCTAAAATAAGCCTTGAGAACGGTATAGCAGAAGAAACAGAAATCCAACCTACCATTTGTGGGGAGTAAAAGTAGAAATGATGTACCAAGGTGAGAAGACATTAGATAATGAAGCCAGATTTAAGTCTAGTCTTCCACATAATCCTAGTTCGTATTACTTATTGCTTCGTTTAAGAATGCTCTTCAGAGACTGCGATTATCAGATGGCATTGAGCGTGTAAGCAAAAAGTAACAGTTATATAATCGTCAATAATAAAGCAGAGATAATAAATAATAATAATAGTAAATAATAATTAATAATCAATAATTGATAGCAATAATAAAATTAGACATACTGAGGTGGATAAAACATGAATGATAAAACTGTTGATAATGGAGACGGTAATAGTACCAGATGATAATGATAATAACGAAGGCCATGATAATGAACGTGATAACAATAGTTTCACGGATTCGATGACAAAATCATGGATTATGATTATGAGCAATATAAACCTTAATGACAGTGAAACAAAACAGTAAAATGAAGATAGCATGTGCATATACCAGCTAATTAAAAAATACCAAAATAGAAAAGCTTTAATTTCGGAAGAAAGAGGAAGGAAGAGAGAGAGAGAGAAGAAGAGGGAGAAGGAGAGGGAGAGGGAGAAAAAGGGAAGGAGGAGAAGTAGGGAAAAGCGATTGTGCAACGATTGCCACAGCAACATCTTGTTCAACAACAAAAAGTGCATATCAATGAATGATGATGGTACGCTGCAGCTGCTTTGATAGCAAACACTCTTATCATCCAAGGGAACTCTTTAGTTACTATTCTAATTAAAGAGGATTCCCCATTATTACAATAGGCCTGGAAGGATGACGAAAGACATAAAAGACGAGATTCAAAAGTAGCGTTCATATACATATACGGTCTGCAACTTCCTGTTTCTTCCATTACCGCATTAAATAACAACGACAGATAGCAGCAGCAGCAGCAGCAGCAGCAGCAGCAGCAGCAGCAGCAGCAGCAGCAGCAGCAGCAGCAGCAGCAGCAGCAGCAGCAGCAGCAGCAGCAGCAGC